CAGTGTACAGGATAGGTAGCGTCTTCTCATGGAATTGACAAGAGTTTGAAAGAACACCTGTGGAATCTGTCATTTGTCAAAGAACACTTCAGCTCTTGGAGATAATGTATAGGTTTTCCATGGGACAAACGGCGGCCAAGCTCGTCCGACACCTGCTCAATTGGTGCCATGTCAGGCGACAGTGATGGCCAAGCCAAGACATCAATGTAGAATGTATACAATGTAGAAGTCTGGACTGACGGTTCAGCTAAGCAGGGTACTGAGTATGGAGGAAGTGGAATACTGATCAAGACCGGTGATACCGAACACGACCAACGTGTACCTGCGGGCCGGTATTGTTCCAGCTACAGGGCCGAGCTTGTAGCTCTCGACACAGCGCTTGGCATGCTTGTGGCACTACATACAGCCGGGCAGCCTTCCGAACAGTGCACGCATGCATGTATACACTGATTCTAGGTCAGCAGTCATGCGCCTCTCATACGGCCCTACCAACCAATCGGAAAAGGTGGCCTGCTCAATGTGGCAACATCTGCACACCCTCTGTCAACGCTCTGAATGTTCCATCCACTTACAGTGGATTCCAGGCCACGCTGGACTGGCTGGGAACGAGGAAGTTGACAGCATCGCCAAAGAAGCAACAGCGCTTACCCAGATTGACACGCGAATCGATTTCTCGACAGGTAACGCCGTCATCCACCGATCGACCCGCGCAAAGTGGAAGAGAGAGGCGAAACCCAAACTGCCGTTTGCCCAGCCGCCATCATACCAGCTTGAGGCTTCGCTCAGACGACAGGACCGCCGGCTTCTCTCCCAAATGAGAACTGGTGGAAAATCGCCCAAGCTGAAATCATATCTCCACAAAATTGCGCCAGCGGACAACCCGGATCCGTCCTGTCGAGCCTGCAAGGAGGAGGACGAAACTATGGACCATGTGTTCCTGAGATGTCCCGCCAGCTATCGTGCTAGAACCTGTCTGCTTTGACATTTCAGTAACCCACTTTCTGCACTTTTTAAGGACCCCTGGGCGAGTGTTGAGTTCCCGCGTGCTGTCGGCATTGCTGACCGTTCATGAAGCCACAGCGCCAGAAGAGAGAGAGAGAGAAGACATCAATGTTGTTTGCCTGGAGAAAAGCAGTCGTGGCTCGAGCGGTGTGGGGGAGGGCGTTGTCGTGTTGGAAGAATTGCAGCTCTGGATGTTGACTAAATAACACAAGACGTGGTTCTTTAAAACCTGCTGGTACATGGTGGCATTCACAGGCTGATCAAAGAAGTACAGTGGTGTGCGATAATCGTAGCTGGACGCTCCCCATACCATGATGCTGCCTCCTCCCCATCTATCGACCTCCAGCATGCAACAGTTGGCGTAGCTCTCGCCGGGGCGTCTCCAGACCTTTCTTCTCCCGTCAGCATGCGAGAGGGCAAATCGACTCTCGTCAACTGTAAATGCTGCATGGCCTACTGCAAACATTGTTGACAGTGCCTCTGTGTCAGGACAGGACCAACGTACGGGCGTCTAGCTGCAAGTCCTGCTTCCCGCAAACGGCGTTGTAAGGCCCATTCAGATACTGGTCCACGCCGACCAACCACTTGAAGACCTGTTTCCGGTGCCGGCCGGAAATGGTCACGAAGGTGACGTTGGCGAATGTAACGGTCTCGCGCTGGTGTTGTGACTTGGGGTTGGCCGCTCCGTCGCCGATCCGGTGTAGATCCAGTAGCTGGATTTCCTTGAGACTCCAGATAACAGTCGAGTGGCTACAGCTAAAATTTGTCACACAGAGTAAAGAATGTCAGTTTTTGTTATGGGTGAATATAATCTCTCCCTAACAGCCAAAAAGTCTGTCTCGCTAAACAAATTTTAGGTTTGAGGTCCACACATCGGATTTTTGCATGTTGCACGTGCGCATTGACAGGTTTGAACTGGGACCTTCAAATTTTGTGCGATCGGTAACCTCTGTTGCTCGTGAACATTTGTCAACCTCAATTGATGTCACTGGATAGGTTTTAGTTCAAAATGTGCTCAATCCAAAATGGTGCGTTTTTAATGACCGTCAGTATATATAATATATGTGTGTGTGTGTGTGTGTGTGCATGTGTGTGTGTGTATGTGTGTTAGCTTAACAAATGTATTATATCGTCGAAATCATCTTAAGACAGCCGCCGTTGTCGAGAACTAAAGTGGCGATCTTAGACAAGTGGGCGTTTTACACAGTGTCATTATAATGTTTACATTTTAAAAAAGCGATCGGGGGAAATGAAAAGTAGCCGTTTGTACAGGTAATTATTTTATACAGCTGGCCTTTAAAGCTGGTTAGACTCTAGGTCTACATGTTTCACGCCACAATGGAATGTCGCTGTCATCAATTTTCAGAAATATGGAGTTTTTGAAATAATCTTTAAACTTATTCATTGTCTTGCTTTGAAAGAAAAACTATACCCATCTCTCTAGAACGGAAGTAAAGATGTTTACAATTTAAAAAGGTGGGTGTCGTCTGATGTTTTA